TGTAGCCATGTTCGTCTGGTCGTTTTTTATGTAGTTGTAATTGCTATTGATGTTGTTATTAAAAATACTTTTCTTCTTATTCATAGCCCATGTTCTGAAGTTCTGTTGTTAGGATCTGCTCGTCCTGTGTTGTTCGAATGGTTGTTGTTGTTGTTTGTTGTTGGTTGTTGTTGTTGTTATTTTTGTTGTTGTTGTTGCTGTTGTTGGTTGTTGTTGTTGTTTGTTGTTGTTGTTAAATCTCATATCTATGGAAATGTTGAAGCAGAGGAGAAGAACAAGATGCGTTTTTTATTGTAATGACTTTTTAAACATTCGTCCGTTTGTTCGGTCGCGTTAATATCTTGTTAAGATGTACTTGGATGTTGTTGTGGTTTTGTTGTTGTTGCTGTTGTTCTTGATATTAATGCTTGGCTATCTTGTTGATGTCATGACTGGTGCTATTGTTGTTGTTGTTGTTGTTGCTGATGTCATTGTTGTTACTGCAGGCCTTTTGTTGCTAGGCTGACCGATTTCAAATTGAACGTCCCTGTCCAATGAAATTACTCAGTGAAGTCAGAGCCGAATATGCAAATTTCAAATATTCAAATTACATTTCATCATTCATCACTTGAGGTGCAGGTTTACCTCTTTTCTCATTTCAATAGCGCTAATAATATGTTTCTGTTGACAAAAAAAAAAATTTGTAACTGTTGCAATTAACGAATGTTATACAAAATCGTTTATACATATATACGTACAAAGATATTCATTATTCATCGTGGAAGAAGCATTTTCATTATGAAATTCTGTTGTATTTATTGAAAGAATAATTTGTTGGCACGCGTGTGGTGACAGACAACAACACAAACAAACACACAAGCAAACTAGCAAACAAACACACAAACAAACAAACAAACATGAACAAGTAGAAATAGGCAAATAAATGTGTTATTTGTAAAGATTGGATTGAAGTGGAATACATGGAAATATTTTCAAAGCATTTGTTGCTTGTAATATATTTTATGACGCATTTTGTTATTTGTTTGTTGATAGGGAAATGTTGAAGATGCTCACGTTGGGCGTTCGTCCTGTTTTTGTTGTGTTTGTTTTTAAAACTGTTAAGGTTGTTGTTGATGTTAAGAGAGTTGACAGCATAAAGTGATGTTGTTGAGGATGTTAATGAATGATGTCTGTTAATGTCGCTCATTCATACATCAATATTGATGGATTGATGCTATTAAATTTGCATTTGCTGATGTGATGATGCTTTTTTATTATTTTTGTTACTGGTTCCTGCGAACGATTGCAGTTTCGCCACCATCCAAATATCTTGATCGAATGAACGTGAGTTGTAGCATGGAAAGAGATCGTTCATGTGTAGGCACTTACAAATAGCATAGAATGTGACTGTTCAATCCCTATAACGCGATAATAGCAATTTTGAAAATAATTTCTCTTCTTACTCTTCTGACTGTAAGCCGGTGAAGATCCAACAGGATAAGACTGACATTATCAAACATTGATGCACCGAGAAAGATTTGGCAAGAAGGTTCTTAAATGAGAGAAGATTTCACTCCGTTGAAAACAACGAAAAAACTGTCACCACTGAAGACTTGAACCAGACATTTCAATACATCAAGTGAATATTTCAGTCAGAGCCCACTAAATTGAAAGAACATTCTTCATTCTACATTTTTATATGCAAACACACAAACACACAAAAACACAGACATAATTGTCATCCGCCAGCACATTCACGTTTGCAATGATGTGTTAGTGGTCAGTCTAACATTGCAATGTTATTACGATGGAGGTGATGATAGGTTGTGATGTGTTTTGTGATGTGTTGTGTTGTGATGTTTTGGGATGTGTTGCGTCGCTTTAACTTGCCTAGTAGCAGCAGCAATTTATAGTTTTTTGCAAGAAGCGGACAGGACAAACGTAAAGTTGCTGGAGGAATTGTATTAGCATAATATAAACACACTCAGGTCTCACAAATCAATTCATACCTACGTGCCGCATACACATCTCTATGTACGTGAATGCGCTCGCGCTTGACAATTATGCCATTGTTCTTTTGTGTCTGTGTGTTTGTGTGTATGTGTGTTTGTGTGTATGTGTGTTTGTGTATGTTTCATGATGTTTGTGTCTGTTTCAGTCCGTAATAGCTCATATAATCATCTGGATTGGAAATTTAAAACATTTAAAAAGTGTCAATTCGTTCATAAATAACTATTTCAAGCAAGCGTATATTACAGATATTTTTGTTCGTATGTAAGCATGTTTGTATGTGCGTGTGTGTATTTGTGTGTGTTTGTGTGTGTGTAAGTGTGTGTAGGTATGTAAAAAGCTACACGTCTCATTCTTGAAATGTATGGAGTTTGTACGTGCATGCAACTATGCCAAATTCTTCAATGTTATATCATACCATTGTGTACATCCACGCATACATATATCTCATGATCACATAAATTTCTACCATTACACTAAAAAATGTGTATGTATGTATTGTATATATATATATATATATATATATATATGTGTGTGTGTGTGTGTGTGTGTGCGTTTGTGTGTATGTGTGTGTGGTGTGTGTAAATTATTTTATATTAATAGATTAGATATGAAATATGTACCTTTTGGTATGTTATTACTCATAAGTAGGTTATTTTCATCACCATGGAATGTGTGTAGCTACGTTCATGCGTGTTGTATGCGTGTGTTACTTCCAATGTGATAACAGCAATGCCTGTGAAGATGATGATGATAATGTTGTTGTCGATAATAATGATAATGATGACAACTAACAAAACTAGAGATGATGTTGATAATGGTGATGTTGTTGCTGTTAATGATGGTGATGATGGTGATGATTGTGGAAATGCTTGTGATGATGATGACGATGATGATGATGGTTATACTGAAGATAGCACAACAGATAAGACCGTTGATGACGCCCACGTAAACATAGATGATGACAATAAAAGAATGACGTCATGGTGGTAGTCCCTCTGATGACGCAACGATGATGCAACTGTGTTGAAAATGTGTTACCATGATGACAATGATGATGTTTGCCATGGTGATGTTTGCCATGGTGATAATCCGTGGTGATAATCTTGCAGTTGATGTTGGATATAAGGATGATTAAACGGACGATGCAAGCCTCCTGGTGTTGTTGATGATTATAAAGAGTGAAATAAATGGCGCGAATTTCGTTTGTCGTCGTTCTTTTGTTATAAATGCGAATATTAATGAAGAGGGAGAGTTTAAATTGAAGCATTTGTCTTGCAATATATCAGCAACAACGAAGCCTTGTTTATTTCCAAGGAACTTTCCTAAATTATTCCAGGCTGTTTTTAGTTGTTCGTATAATACTGGAAGAACGCATTGTTCATGACAAAACTTTTTTTATGAAAGATGTCGCAACTGAGTTGGGTTGCATGTTTAATTTATTTTTGTATTAAGTTCAATTGTTTATTTTGTTGTTTTTTAATTGCTGTTTCTTTGTTAATTTAAACAATGTTTATCAATTATTTAATTGAATAATAGTTTTGTTCGCTCAAACCTAAACATACGAACATGCACATGCACACATACACAAACATACAAATAAGCACACATTAAGATAAACATACACAAACATACAAACAACGACACATCAACATAAACATACAGAGACAAACAAACACCAACAAACAGAACGATGTGCATACATTTGCTGCGATTTTTAGGTTCTACATTAGAAGAACGCACGTGTTTCCAGCTCATTTGTGTGTCTCCACGTTTTTCACATTTTCGATCGGTCGGACAAAAAATTTTGAGACAGTTGATTTTTTGTGTGGTTTTTTAGCAACAAAACTGAGTGTTGAACATTTTTACATGACGTCATTTCCATCTAGATCTGGTGATGAGTGTCAACGTGTGATGAACTTTTTATGATTCTAAGAATCTTCTTCAGGCATTCCATCACAACAGACCACATATTCTGCAACATGTGCATTTTTCAGGTGCTGTCCATTGAAAAAGTTTGTTGGTTCGTAATTTGGCGCGTCAATTAATGCAACGTTGTAAAATTATCATACAAAAAAAGGAAACATGACGAAACGAAATTTCAAAAAGAACCACACACATGCATGTGATAAAGAAGTTTTAACATTTTTTTGTACTATTCATTCTGTGTGTTGAGTGAAATATATTAAATTAAGTCCTGTCTGTAAGGTTTTGTTGTTTCTGCTGGTTGCTACACGCGATTCATGCATGTCTTGCGCGACGACAACAACACGCACCTGTACGCACATCCAACAACTACTACATACCCACATCCAACAACAACAACAACATTCAATACAATCCTTTCCTCAATATTTTTCAAAAACATCAACAACAAACACACAGTGCATGCAAATACATGTGAAACAACGTATCCCGCGCATGCATGTAACAGGCGGGAATCTCTCGCTCTAACCAATGAACGTCTTAAAGATATTTCATGTAAGCAGAAACGTAAACAAGTTTTCCAGTTAATAATGTTTATAAATTGTGGTTTGCAATCAAATCTAATCACAGCCATGTATTTATTGGACGCTATTTCATTTTTTCTCCTCCTAATGTTGTCTCTTTGTTTTTTCTTTATTATGATTGCTCTCTTAAATATTCCTTGATTTATATTTGGTTGTCTTTATAACAATGTAGGATGTTTTTGTCGTTTCGTTTCGTTTGTTTTGTCATCATTATTAACCATCATCATCGTTATCGTCGTCGTCTTCAACATCACCATTAGTGATGCTATAAATACCATTTGCACATCAACAACATACCGCATTCATCGTCATCATTGCCACATTCAACGTCATCATTATACCACGATCATTATCAAACTAATCATCATCATTAGTTTCATCGTCGTCGTCATCATCATCATCGTCGTCATCATCATCATCATCGTCGTCATCATCATCATCATCGTCGTCATCATCATTTCTATACAGCCCTCATCGATCGTCTGGTGCTCAACTCCAGAAATGTCACCAAAGATAGCAACAGAGCATTGTCCCCCTACTCATCATCATCATCATCGTCGTCGTCATCGTCATCATCTTCATCACTTTCTTCATCATCAGCAGAATACTTATCATCGTTATCATCAAATACATTTCCGTCATTATCTTCTCAACCATCATCATTGTCACTGCATTCAAACCAAGTATCCCAAAAATCATCCTCATCATTACTTTCTCATCACCATCCTCATCACATCCCATCGTCATCATCCTCATCCGGAAATTCCTTGCCAGTCCTCTCCTACACGGAAGGTACTCCTGGCGGATTGTACTGCATAGCGCAGGGAGGTTATCCCATTCCCACGTTCAACTTGCAGGTCGGAAGCAGGATCATCTGGGACGCGAAGACCGCCGTCAGGGTCACCAGGCTGGGAAATGTTACCGGTCAGTTGTTTGTTAGTGATGGATTACATATTGTAAGTGGAAAAATAGTGGGATAAATAAATGCGCCACACTGTCTGTCCGGGTTCAAATTCAAGATCATCCCGCTAATAATACGAAAAATATATAATTGCTGATTAAAAACATATTTACGTGCGCTCTGTTTTTTAAACTTTTAAATTATTTCAATGGGAGGAACGATCTTTAACCTTCAACCTTTAGTTAGCTTATTAGTAGTTAGGTGGCTTCTGGATAAATGGTTGCTATTTAGTTGAAGAGTTATTAATAATGACTGAGTTGGCTGGTTGCTCGTTGGAATTCACGAAAACAAAATTTACACTGACTAACTATTTAAAATAAATTTTCAAATCGATATAAGCGTATGTATTTAAATTACAAAATTAAACTTTACAACAATTAGTGTTTTAATCGTGAAAAATATATCTAATAAGAATGATGCTTTCTCGTCAGGCATGAAAGTGTTGTACCACACGACATTTTATTGGGTGGCCAACTTTGTAGCCACGCCTCAGAACGACGGCGAAGTGGTCAGATGTTCGGTGAGCATCAGTGGCAAGCACGTCAGTCAAATCGAACGGAACATAAGCGTGCTCTGTATGTTCATTCATTTATTCATTCCTTCATTCACTCACTCATTTCTTTATTCATTCATTCACTCATTCGTTCATTCATTTATTCATTACTAATTTGAATGAAGGAGTGCACACAATCCTTCTCCATACAAACATCTGATCATGCAAACGCCCAGACGCACCTCTGATAAGATGCGACGATTACGAGCCAACGGCCTACCTGAACGACAAAAATGTTTTCATCACGTGCCACATCAAATCCAAACCAGCCCTCAACGAACTCTACTGGGTAGTCGACGACCTAGGGACCAAGGTGCATGAGACCAAACCCCACGATGTCTTCTGGGTGCTTATTGAGGTTCGTTGATGATGATTGTTGTTGATGGTGGTGACGATGGTGTTGATGATGTTGATGGTTGTGATTATAAAGCTATGAACGATGATTTGATTACAATCTATTTTCACACAAAGATTAAAAATAATAGTAATGATAATGATGACATTGAAAATAAATTTAAAACCAAAATGTTGACCGATGTTAACATTGAAAAACACTTTAGATGAAGTAATAACTTACAGAAAGTTTTCATTCAAAATCCACTCATCTTTTCTTTCAGCATCTTCATCGCACCAGCATAAACAAAATATTTTATATCTATTGCTACAATTGATGCTCGAGTGTGCAAATTAAATATTCTAATGTACTCTTAACAGCTGTAGAATCAAGTGGTAGATTCACCGGGTTTTGAAATGATTGTATTGTGCGCAAGCTGACGTGATTCCCATTTGTTGCACCAATGTTGGTAATGTTGATGCTACGTCATTTTTGAAAAAAAAATTAGAATATTTTTATCTAACTTTGTTTTGTTTAGTGAATTAAGAGTTTGTTGTTCGTCAATTTTCTATTTTGGCCACATTATAAATGTTCTTGCAACTGCAGTCGTTGTTTTCGCATTATTATTTCTCGGAGTGAAACGGCGCGGCATATTGAGGCAATTTGTCTTAGAGCCTGCAAGCTTCTAAATGATTCATTCGCAATTCCAGCGCTGCTCTCTAAATGCTTTTGTTTATCTTTCTCGTTAATCACACATTTCGTTAGAATGTTGCGAAACATGTATATTCGTTCTTTCTGCTTTTATGAATTCCCTATTTTTCAACCTCCATATTTGTCCTTCGGTTCAATTATTGAATTTGCAACGAAGTTAAATGCATTGAAAAAATAATTTGAAGCAGCCAAAATATTTTATATTGCTATCTTGAATTGTATTTTCCAAATTGTAATTTATTTGTTTTTTTTGAGAAAGTAAGTTAAGCAGAGAGATAAACTCAATAAAAAGTTATTTCCTTACTTAATGTTTAGTGTTGTTTGAATCTCTGAGTGTGTGTGTGTGTGTGTATGCGTGTGTATATGAGAGTTTGTATGTGTTTTTCTCTGTGTCTGTATGCATGTATGTGTGTCTGGGTGTTCTCATATGTGTATTTTTGCGTGCGTGATGCGTGTGTGATTATGTATGTGTGTGTCAATCATAACTGCAAACTTCATAGTTTTAAAACATTTTTTTGTTTTTAAAACTTAAAAAACTTTGTAATAAAGGTTTCGTTTTTGTGTTTCAACAAAATCATAAACAGCAAATGATTATTTGTTCAAAAATATAGAAAACTTAGCGATATTATCGAATTTCACTTTCGAGTGATCGAGTGTGATTCATTTTTATTTAAATGCAAGATGTGCATTTTTGCCAACTTTGTTATTTTAAAATGACAAAACATACCCGTTGATTTTTTTAAAAACCATTTTCAATCTGAGTCATGTTCATTTGATTTTTATTAATTAATTATTACAATTTAATAAGCATTTGAATTGTGCGAAGTTTTAAAAGATTTATAGGAAATAAATATTTTAACGTTTGTTGTTAGACAGCAGTCAACACAGTGTGAATGTTATTCATTAAGCATTCACAAATTTAAAAAAATTCCTAAGTTGTTTAAAGAGTTTTCATATTTATTTCATACTAAATACATGTCTTTGTTAGTTTCTTGTTTAATATTTATGAAAATTTTTAAGAATTATTTTTGAGTTGTTTGTAAATAAATATTTCCATTTTTTAAATTTATTCAAGTTTCATTTCAAAATTTTGCTTCTGGCAAAATGTCAAACCGGTCTGAGAAGTTGAATATGTGAGAGATAAGCTTGTAATAAGTCAAGGAAGATTGCTACGCGGCTTCGTTGGAAAGCAGTCAAGAATTCAAAAATATTTCTATAGAGGCAAAAAATTATTTCCAACAATTAAAAAGTACAGCAGTTAAAATTCAGCTCATCCGTGTTTAAAATAGTTTACTCATAATTTTTACTTTTTTTAAATATTCTATTAAATGTCTTATTTTAAAATTGAATAATTAAACTGAAACAAATATAATCAATGGAAAAACAAATTTATCAATTTTTTAACAAATTAAACACTTTTTAATCTTTCCTCGTATCAAAAATGTCACGATCACAGGCTACTTACTAAGAACTTGAGCAGTTGGAACTTAATTTCTGTTAATTTATGTTCTTATGAGTAACTTGTGTAGACTATCTAGACTGTTGAGAGACTGTTGAAAAATGTTGACTTGATTTAATTTTAAAAAATTAAGCCAAGAATTTCTAGGTCTAATTTTTTTTTTCTGTTTAACACTATCGTTAATCCCATCGTGCCATTCATGCATGCATGTGCAAGTTTGAAAATATTAAAGTTGTTCATCCAGATTTCTGATAAAATATTTTACAATGGTCGTAAATTTCTAATCTAGCCGTAAACATTGATTGCCTAATGAAACCATTTTATGGTTCGGTCGGTATTTGTGAGTTGTTGTTTAAATGTCTCCAATTATCTTTTCATAAACAATCTGAGAAGAAATTATTAATTTGTTGCATGGGATGGCCGTCAATATTCTTCATTCTTTATTATTTAAATTTTTGAAAATGGAATTGTGTAAAATAACCCGTCTTTTTTAAAATATTTCAGCCATATTTTGATCATCTTTTGATCAAGGTTTTGCTGATCAAGGTTTACCTTAAACAGATAATTAAATAATTTTGAGATGCGGATGTTCTTAGGAGCAGTGATTTAAGAAGTGCAGTATAGATGATTCTTCCATGGCAAACAACGAGGCGGGCGCGCTTATTTAGTTATTGTATAATAAATTAATTAAACTCGATAGCATAATTTTGCCGGATTCAACTTTTCTTTAAATTAAATGGATGTACGTAGAGATTCACATTTTACTTTTAAAAATTGAACCATCATTCATCGGATAAAAATTACATTACAAAAAAATTTTCTTATGTGAAATCTTTTAGTAAAAAGTAATTTTTTTAAATATTATTGACGTTAAAATATTTCACAAAGCAAAATAGCCAATAAAAATAAATGAAATGGGGATTTCAACATGCGGTGCCGCGCTTTTTGTTTGCGTCCGTTGCATCGCCCAACTCACCCATAAACTTGAAATTGAAATTCAAGGTTTTATCAGAAGTGTCAATTTCAAAAACACTAAATAAAAATAATTGTTCATGAAAAACTGAACAAAAGTACGGTTCTCGTTGCTTTGGTTGCTTTCTTTTTATTGTATTTTCGATTTTTTTCGAATTTACGGCAATAAAAAAAACTTTAAAAAGCGTCGATTTCAAGAAGCTAAAAAATTTTCAAACATTTTTTGGGGTAATCTTTACTTTATTTAATTTTTTCGAATTTTTGACTTTTTTTAAATAGATATAAACGATAAAAAAAAATTTTAACATAATTTCGCGTAAAGTTAATTTAGGAATTTTCTGTAATGTGGAAATAATCCAATTAGCAAAACAAGAGTTTGAATTCTCAGTTAAAACCAACAAATGTGATTGTTAGTTTTTGAAACATGCTATTTTTAAACTATCACATTTAATTTTCATTTTATAGCAATTGTTTACATGCCCAAATAATAAAGTACGTAAAACTGCCTATCTCAAAGTACAAAAACATAACATGATTTTTGAAAGAAATATAAGAAACTATCCCGACCATTCATCTTCCGGTCATTCTCTACAATGTTACATGGTCAGTCATAAGTTTTAATCAATAAGACAATCGGTCATCTTTGCTATTTTCTTTATCTTTTGTATTCGCTTGGTCTGCAAGAGTAGCTACTATGATAAACGCTCTTTGTTTTGCTAACAGTACTTTCATCATTTCACTTATTCTTTCTATTCGTTATATTTTTATGTATATTTATGATTTTTTTATCCAAGATTACATCAATATTTTTTTCCATTGTTATCAATCATAAAGGATGAATTTCATTCTTGATGATTATTAGCCGTCGTCAACGTAATAATCAACATCATCGTCATTATAAACTATGTTATCAGTCTTGTCATCATAAAATTTTGGTCATCATTGTAGTTGTGTTATCATAATCATGATCACCATCTAGTCGTCATCGTTGTTGTTGTTGTTGTTTTTGTTGTTGTTGTTGCTCCCCTCTGTTGTAACTCCGCATTTGGTCAGACGGGGTCTGAGCCATTCCGCGACCGCAACCGGATTTCGCCGCAGGTCTAATTGCGTTCGGCGATGGTGGGTGTTTTGGGCAGCTAGACAGATGAGGCACATTATCCGGTTGAGATAAACAGAAGGGACACTTGAAATCATCATTGCTTTCTATTTTGGATCTGAAGCTTTTAAGGAAGATGTAGTGGCCAAATCTAAGTTGGGCTAGGGTTCTTCTTTCGGCTTTTGACAGCTTTGGTTTCGACCCATCTTTTGTAGAAATTGGAGATGGTTATCCGTTGAGCAACACGTGTGCTTGATGTGCTTGATGTGATTTGACGGTGTTTTTATTTCTTTATCACTTTATTTATTAATTGTGAGAAAGCAACAGAAAATAGTTTTTGATACAACTATTGGTAAAACCAAAAAATTTTTTATTGTTTTAAATTTTTTATGCTGTTGTATGTTTCTATGTACGTGCGTCAGTGTCTAGTTTATGCTTGTTTATACTTGTATATTGTTTTGTATATGCCTGTGCGTCTGTGTATGTGTTGTACGTGTATATAAGTTTATGTGTATATATGTGTGTATGTGATTCTATGTGCGCGTGATTTTTGAAATGTTAACGCATGCACGCGCGTGTTTGAGTGTGCTTCAGTTAATTTATGCTGCTTAAAAATAATCCATGCAAAGAAATTCAAAACACAAGTGGTATGTACACCCACCTATCTTATGTTGAAGTTCAAAATTTTCATTAAATAAATACAACAATACCGCCTTTTCAAACAAAACGTTATGAAATAGAAAACGAACAGTATGAGCAGACATGCGAACGGATATAATGAACAGAAAAATGTGA